GCCAAAACTAAACGAATTAGAAGTTAAGGAAGGTTGAAGATGTGAGTTTCAGTTGGTTTCATGGCAATTTTGAATTGGCTAAAACAGGCCATGGACGACCGACCTTAGAAGTCGAGGCGTCGCGTGGCCTCCCGTGTGCGCGCTGCTCGCCAGCTCACCACGCATGCTCGCCAACTCGACCCTGCTTGCCTATTTGGATGACCCGACGCTGCCTCGCTTTCACTGCTCTCTCCCTCGTCCCTCTCGTGCATAGCACGCGCAGCAGCAGCCATGGCCAACGAGCTAAGCTCCTGCCGCTCACGTTCCTCATTGCTCCGCACCTCCTCTGCCATAGCCGCCAATCCTAGAGCCCTCATCGTCGCATGACGCACCTCTAGCGCCTCTTCTCCGGCCCCAACCATCACCGGAGGCCGCTGCCACCATGGCCACCCCGTCGCGACCTCGGGTGCGCATGTGGCCATGCCACCTGCGCCATCTCCGATCGAGCTGAGGCCACACACAAGTGCGCGCCGATCCCCTGATGCTCCACCACCACTCCCCGACCACCGGCATGGCCTCCTTCGACCTTAACTGGCAAGCAGCTGCGCCACCTCTGTTCCATTCGCGTGAAGGACGTCACGCTCAAATTTGAAGAAAGGGAAGGGGTTTTCTGCAGAGTCGTGACTCATGTGAATAGTGGCTAGAAGGACTGTTTTGCTGGAATTTATTTTCGTGGAAGTTTGGGGTCCTCGGTGCAAGTTTGTTTTTCTTTTATGGCTGAAACTTTGAAAAATCATAATAAATCATAGAAAATCGTTAAATAGAAAATAAAGACTTTTTGGAATCCTTAAGAGTAGATCTATGCAGTAGAGTCATAATATGATATGTGTTAGTAGAAAGTTTCTACTGTTTTTATTTATTCTTGTAAAGTGTTTTTAAAAATGATTTTAAGTTGGACAGATGCATATCTTGAGTTATAGAAGTCCAAAAATGGTAATTCTAGCTGTGTTAATCTTGTGATAACATGCTCTAGCTAATAAAAATATTAAACATGCTGGTTGTGTACTGTTTTTATAATGTTTTGATTTAGTCTTGTCAAATAGACAATTTTAGCTTGTTTTGCTTGTTACTCTCATATCTAAAGTTGTGGTGCTCCAATTACTATGAAATTTTTATAGTAGTCTACTGATGTTATGTGTGTGATGTGGTAAAAAATTTAGGGTCATTGAATGTAGTATGATTGAGTTATTGATTTAACTTATTTATGACTTGATAAATGGTTTTAAATAAGTTATAAATTTTATGTAGGTGCAAAAATGTGAAATGTGGTTCCTTTTCCCTTGTATAGTGATATTGTGACCTGAGAAACCCTAATATGGCTATATATTTATAGAAAATAATGATCTTTAGATTTATCTTGTTCTCACATGTTTATTAATAATTAAGATTTGTCTTTTTTATAGCAATTAAATTATAAAACCTAAGCATATAAAATTTGTGCAGTAGCCATATTTTGATAACATATACCACTCATAAAAGTCTCAGCTCCAAACTAGTTGTTCTCATATAGTACTAAAAATAATACATATATTGCATTATTAAAGTAGAGGATGATTGTTGGGAGCATATACATGTATTTATTGTCATGTGATGCTTCTAGTAGCTATTCCTACATGCTATGATTGTTTGAATATGATTCCAAGATATTTGAGGTAGCATATATGTTAAAAATATGTTAGTTTGTAGCAACTAAATGATAGATGAATGCAATATGCCTCTGCTGTTTGGGCTGCATTCATAGTTTTGGTTAAGCAATTAATTTCGTGGTGATAATGATGTTTTATGTGAATGTGTTGAATACTAAAGTTGTAGATAAATTCCTTATATTACTTCTCCTAAAATTTCATGATTTTAGGCCTATTGGTTTAGGAGTTATAGATTTTACAAATTTGCTATCAACTTTTGCAAGTGCTCTGAACATATCTGAATGATTGTATTTTTTGACTTATTTAAACATGGAATCATGTATTAGTGATAATAGTAGAGTTGTTGTGCTTTTCCTAAGCTTTCTAAAATATCTAAGATCACCGTTTTTGATGGTCTAGAACTCTAGTTATTGCTATTCAAAGTGGAATGACAGATTCTGTCCAAATCTAGATAGAGATGCCTTCTTGGTGTTGTTTAACCTTGTTAGCTTTAGAATCATCTTAAGATGATAATAAGAAAGTTATAGATAACTGAATAAGATTTCTATAAAGTTAAGGATCATGCTTGTTGGATGAATATAACTTGAGATATGCATTTCTAAAGTTAATATCAGTTTTCTGTCCTTAGTTGTATAAGCTCGCTTCATGATGTATTTTGACCTTGTTATTTGTTGAATCTGCTTTTGGTGTTAATAACAAAGTTTTATATAATTTTATTAGATTTCCATAAAGTCTTGAATCACACTTTTTGCATGCCTAGACCTCTGGGTATGATTAAAACAAGTGACTATGGTGTTGCTGTTCAGAATCTGTGTTTGTACCTAAAATTGTTTGCTTCACCTTGCTTTGCTTTGTGTGTTGCTAAGTGTGGTCCATGCCTTTGACAGTGTTAAGTTAATATACCTAAAACCTTATGAAACTTGTGTCATGCTTGGTGCTACCTTCCTTGCTATCCTAGCATGATAGGTTGTGGGATGTTTAATTAAGTAACGTGGAGTGCTTATATATGTTTGGTGTAACATTGTGCCCATCTTGAATACTTTTATGTGAGGCATCTCATATTGCCATTCTTCGCATTCATGCACTTGCATTGTTGTATCTCATCTAGGTACGCTAGATGCACCATGTGAAGGACGTGATGTTAGAGCCAAACCCGAAGATAGAGTTTGGTGAATCCATTCAGAAGACGGAAGGACTAAGCAAGTGTCGAGATGGGAGATGCTCGCCAAGTGAGTGTTATCTAACAAACACTGACCTACTGTTGGATCCCAGGCAAGCTCCGAAGCATTCTAAGTCTCCTATATTTTTACAAACATCACTTGAGTCCATTATGTTTGATGCATTAGGTTATAAGAGTTGGTTGAAAACACTTGATGTTTAGAACTACCTTGTCTAGAAATATACCTTGAACCCTATGTAGGTTTAGGATCGAATGTATGCTTAGCAATGCTTAGATCGATAAAAGTCGGGTGATTTCTTGTCACCTGCGAGATATAGGTGAATACCAAAGCACGGTTTGCTATATTTGCTATCGTAGAAAATAACCATGTGATGATGAATAAACGGAGACCAGATGGGATCTAGGGATTGAGAGGCAGCAGGACATGGAGGTCTTGTGTGCATGTTTTATCCCGTCTGTGTCGATTAAGGACCGTACCGTTGCTGGCGCTTCTACCGAGATTGAACGCATGCCTCTTACTTAGCTGGCCGGATAACTCGTTTCGACCGTGAAGCTGAGTAGCTCAACTTAGGCCGGGCCCTATTTTGTAAGAGTGCGCACTCTGGATGATAGTAAGGATGTGCGAAAGGTCAGACGTGAGCCCAAGGGCAGGGTAGTCCTGATCGTCCTAACAGCTGGTTGTCCCTGATTGTGCGGTGTTGATCGAACCCGCGAAATGTGGACCTGAGTTGTACCAAAGGTGACCTAAGACTACCTTGGCGCAGGTATGTCTAGGTTTGTGTGTAGGAATAAATTCCCAGCTGGTTGAAATCGATTCGAATCGCCGTCTCTCTCGGATAGTGAGAAACTCGACTAGTCTCAGCATCATAGTAATTGAACTATAGAATTTGATGATTATGATGAACATGAAAATGTTACACCGGCTATGGTTACTATTGCATGTTATTAAATGATATTCCACATGTTTGGCATAGGTTAGTTGCTAATTTAGAGATGAATAGCTATAATTAACTTGGTTACCGAATTATAAAATGTATACCTCAACTAGTGGCTTTTATGCAAAATGTTGTCAAGCTAGCTCCACTTATATAGCCTTGCATGATCCTTGGTGTCACTTTATTTCTGATTTATGACGGGTAAGTCTAGCTGAGTACATTCGAGTACTCAGGGTTTATCCCACCATGTTGCAGGTAAAGTTTTCGGTCTGCTGAAGATGGTGGCTAACCGCCGGTGGGCTCGGTGACTCTATATTTATTTCTCATCTATATGTTTTTGTCGGAGGATGTCACTTATGCTAGCAATGTATTTGAAACTTATATTAATATAATCATTTGAAAGCTACGTTGTTTTCCCTTAACCGGTTTTGAAACCCAAACTTGTACTATTATTTGTGAACCAATTGGTAATATTATTTCCACTGCAACTTTGTGTATGTAATGTGTATTTGGCTAATCATGCGATCTTGGTTGTGATATTGATTTACTGAGGTCCTTCGTGACACTCGACAGACTACCGGGTTTATATAAGTGAAAGTATGTGCACATCAACGTGTTAGACGGGGACAGTCGTACTTGATCTTGTATAAATTGGACGGTTCTGTCACAATCCTCCCTTAATCATGGGAGATATTGCGATTACCATATTTAGACTGGTGTTAATTACCAATGGTAGATGTACATGTGAATGCTAACTTTTAAATTAGGTTGGGGTTATTTCACCTAGAATTTTTTATAACTTTAGACAAAATTTAAATGCTTAGCTACCTTATATTTTAAGACAGATCTAGTAAATGGTTAACTATGACCGTTTTTGGTAGAACAGTGGAGTATTCAAGCCTGTTTGTGAGGACCACAAGATGTCACAACTCACAAGTCAGAACAGAGGTCCCTAGAAACCAGAAGCTACAGAGATATTCTAACAGGTAAATGCCATCACCAGAGTCTAACAGGGTTAGCAAGACAGTAGGGCCTGAGGAAAAACAGCATTTTGCATGTACATGATATATCTCTGTGATCGGCGTGTCCTGAAGGACACAAAACACAAACGAACGGCATTCTACAGTACCCAAATCTGGGCAAAATCAATCTCATGCTATATAGCACAAATGTAATTTTGGGTTCCTACCTACTTCCTCTCTATAGCTTAAGAAAGACAAACTCCTCAACAGACGGTGTGTCAGCAATCAATTTGAGAGCTTCCTTCTCAGGCTCCTCATCAACACCAATGGCCATTATCGCCTGCTTCCCTGGAGCAGTCCTACCAACACTCATAAAACTCACATTAACGTTCATCTTTCCCAAGATTGACCCCACTTTCCCAATGATGCCTGGCTGATCAACTTGGCGGCACAGTATTAGGTTGCCCTCAAGGCTAACATCAACGCTCAAAGACCCGACGAGCGTGAGATGCGGCGTGCCATCCCTAACCTTGCCCTCCACTCTGATGCCACCTGCATCAGATAAGGCTCCGGCAAACTTGGACTCCACATTGGCGAGGTGGACCTGGATGGAGTCTAGGGGGATCTCAAGTGAACCGTCAAGGAAAATTCTCTCCTCAACGATCCTAAGGCCTCTTTGCTTGGCGACATAATCCGCATTGACAATGTTGACGAAAGCGCTTGAAATTGGTTCGATGATGCCTTTGGTGACCATGGCACGAAGAATTCTTGTGTCCAAGTCATCGGGGTCTCTGGCAGATGAGTAAACAACCTTGACACCTTTTGAAACGACCTGATTTCCGCAAATGGAAATCCACAGAGTCGAAGTGTAATAAGACCGTTGTAGATCATGTTACCCAAATTCCAGTCGAATATCACATCCATACAACGATAATATCAGAGTACAAATAGTGCGGAATTACATAAATTATTAAATCGCCGCATTGACGGAATCAAAAGTAGCATTCATTCAGAACAGCTTGAAGATAAGATCGTCAAACTTGAGCATAGGAACGAACCCCTCAACCGTCAAACTCCTCGGAGCTATACTCCTCAGCAGAACCTGTGTGTCAAAATTTATCAGTACGATTTGTACTGGCCACTCCCACCCTATGAGCATTGCTTTGTGGAACTTGGATGCAAGTTGGATATAATCAAAAGGAACCTATAAGGCTGGGGATTCCTATGCATTAGCATATCAAGTATATAATAATAGTTGGTCAAGTTTTAACACCATTCCCACACTCATTCCACCCCATTTCCGTCCAGAGCCAGGTTTCAATCCTGGGATCGAAACACCACCATCTCCACACCATCACCATACCATCGCTCAGTCGACAGGCCAACTCCCTCTCGGCACTGCCTCATGGCCCGTAGCCCCTGGCTACGTCCGAACACTCACTCCTAGGGGGAGAAGAGAATGACTCATCTCACTATCTAGTTTAAGCGAAACCCAGGAAAGGTCCATAGCCGTCAAGTCGGCATATGTATCGATCGATCAACCATACACTCTGCAGAGGTTTTACATAACCACAAGATCCGCCTTTCTCGCTGACCGTCGTCAACTGGGCTGATTCTGGCCGCTTGCTAGCCTAGGATAATGCCACTCTACCATTTAGCTCTGGTATACCCCAAGTCTAGTCTGGGGTAGCTGAAACTGTGAGTCATGAGCCGGGTCCACAAGGTCTCCATGAAGTCTCGGAAGGGTGTGGGGGAAATCCTCCGCGCCCCGTACCTCCCTCACGCTGTCCGCTATCAATCTTAGCAGTAGTGGCAATATCCTCCCAAGTAGTCCGGCCGTCCCGCACCATATAGGGCGAGTGGTACGTAAGGCTTCCCGGCGAATCTGAGTACTAGTAAGTCCTTAGGGATGACCAAGCCAGAATGTCTTCATCAGGGTTTTCATTTACCGTGCCACCACAGCACCTCCACCCTGGGCTCCTCCCATCATAGGTTCACACCCAGGGCCACCTCATATACCATTTACCCACCATAGGTATCCATTACAGGGGTGCCTAGGTAGCACCCCACGGCAAGACTTGCCCCAGGCTCGTCGTATACTCCAACTTGGTCGACACAACCCTCACCCTCCACGCACCCAAGTCACACACGCAGCACTCTCCCCATAGTCCAGATAACACCAGTTTTCCACCACGCATCAATGTAGTACAAGCGTAGTAGAAGTAATAAGCAATGAAATATAGTAGCAAGCGTGTGACTAGCCTAACAGCAGGGTGAGCAGGGGTAAGGTTGCGTCAAGGTAAAGGCCATCAAGAAAGCATACTACCATGCAAGTCCTATCATAGTGTGATCATAACAATAAAGTAAAGCACTAGCATTTCTATTTTAGCCATGCGTAATAGGTGCTACGAGATTGGGTGGGATGTGGCACCTTCAGTGTAGTCGTCTCCATACTCCGCATGGTACTCTCAGTCCTCGTCCATCTGGTTCTCCTTCCGAGTCTACAAACGATCGCATTATAGTCGCGTTAGCGACGTCTATAGAATAGCACAAAAAGCAATGAATATTCAAAAGAGTCAAATGCACTCAAACATGGGTTCATTGCGTAGAGCTCGATTTTAGATGAATTTTGGTACTGGTTTCATGTTTTTCTGAGGCCGTATGAATTAGTTATGAATTTCCGAAGATTAAATCCATTTCTAAAAATAATTAAGGCTGATTAATTCAGGGCTGACACGTGTCACACTTTGACTGGTCCACGTTGACGTCATCGTCTTGGTTGGTCACTGACAGGTGGGTCCGGGGTCAAACGGTCATTGACAGGTGGGGCCAGGTCAAAGTCAACATCAAGTCAACGATCAACGTACCACAGTGGTTGACATGTGGGTCAGGGCTGCTGAGGTCAGCAGCTGATGTCATCGTGACGTCATCATGGCATTAGCGTGATGTCACCTCCTGACATGTGGGTCCAGAGTCTCTGTGTCGCTGACATGTGGGCCCCGGTCAACGGTCATCGTTGACTGGTCAACGATCAACATAGGCCGGGTCCAAATTGGGCCGGTTGGGCCTAGATCAGGGCCGGATATGGGCCGGGCGGCCCTCACATGTGTCATGCTGTGAGGCCATCCACGTGGCTCATCTAGGCCCCAAACGGGCTGAGGTCCACGAGGCTGGTCCATGGTGGACTTGGCCGTGCAGGTTCATGGACCGCAGACTAGGAGCCTGTTCGGCAGGACTGAAAAATAAGCCAAAATACTGTTCCAGCTGATTGTTGTGAGAGAAAAATATTGTTCTGGCTGAAATCACTGTTCACGTGAACAGTGATTCGTGAGGGGGCTGCCCAGCCAGCCAGCCACCGGCCAGCCAGCCGAACAGCCCCTAGGCTCGCTGTGCTCCGCGTCCACGCGGGTGTTGGTGCGTGCGGCGCACCGTGCGCCAGGCGCACGCAGCTGCGGGTGTGCAGGGAAAAAGGGGGAGAGCTCCGGCTCCCCTGCTCTTCTCCGACATCTCGCCGGCGGCAAGCTCGCATAGTTGCGACTTGCGGTCCGGACAGGCTGGGAATGGGTGCTACAGCGTCGCGAGGTCACCATGGAAACCCGGCGAAGGGCTAAAGGCGGCGGCTCAGCTCTCCTGGCGCCCGGTGCTGGCGTCGTGGCAAACGGGACGGGCGCGGGGTCAGCTGCGAGGTGACTATGAAGTGTCGGTGGGGCTCCAAGGGAGGCGCTTCCGCGTTATGGTGCTCCGGCGAGCGCGTCTAGGGTGCTAGGTGGAACTCTAGGGGCTTGGGTGAGGTTGTTCGCGTCAGCGGTGACGGCGGCTCGGCTGCGACGACGCATGGTGGCAAACATGCGGCTGCGGCCCAAATTGGGCCAAGGGGCGCCTCTTTTTCCTTTGATTGGGGTCACTGGCGAGCCATGGGATTCGACAGCGACGACAAGAAGGGCGCGGCGGAGTCCACAGTGTGGCATGGCGTGCGGCGGAACTCTAGCGGTCTTGCGGCCATGGCGGCCGGGGCAAAACAGAGGTTCCCTGCCCCTTCTTCCAAGCGGCTAGGTGTGTGAGGTCAAGACAAAGCTCGACGGCCAGATTCCCTGTTGCGGGGTGGCCGGAGACAACGGGGAGATCCACGGCACGGCGGTGCTCTAGAGCGCGTCCGCGCCAGTGAGGTCAAACGGTTAGGGTCTTATGGGGCTCGTCTTTAGCCACCAAGGCACGCATGGCGTGCACGGTGTCGAGGTGTACACAACGGTGGACGACATGGGGGCCAAGAGTCCGCAAGGGCCAAGATGGCGCCTCACCGTGACATGGCATGTTCGCGGCGATCAGCATGGCGGGCATGACTCTACCGGCGTCATGGATGCTGGTGGTTCAAGGGGTTAAGGCCAGTCTTGTGCGTGTGTGCGCGCATGTCCATGAGCTAGAAGGGGCTTTGGCCTTGCGTCCCATGGTGTGGGACGCGGTGGCGGCCATGAACGTGATGCGACGGCGAGCGCGGATGGCTGGGCGAGGCAAGGTGGAGGGCTCACCGTCGCTATCGAAGGTGAAAGGATGGCGGTGCAGTGGCGGGTCGTGGCCGTGTCAAGACGATGTCGTCCCGTGCCGAGCAGCAGCGTCGACGTGGTTGATTGGGGCGACGTCCTCCGCTCCGGTGACACTAGCGACATCGGGCGGCTTCGGTGCTCCTTCTTCTTCCTGTTCGTCCTTTTCTTTTCCCCTCTCTCTCTTGGCTCGGGTGTGCAGTGGATGGCCACATGTTGGCGGCGGGGCGATGGGAGAGCTCTAGGGCTCTAGGGCTAGGTTTTTATAGCCGAAGCTCGGCCATGGCATGGAGCGAGCGGTTAGAGATGGCCAAGGGGCGCGCGGAGGGCTGTGATAGCGTCGACGCTTAGGGCTTCAGGGTCGCGACGCGGCTGCGGGTGCGATGGCGAAACCGATTTCGCGCTCCTTGGTCAAAAAGGCGGGGGACAGGGTGGAGGCAGGTGCATGGCATGGCCATGGCGAGCTGGTTCACACGGTAGCGGTCACGCACCGTGCGTGACCCTTTCGGGCAGCCGGTGCCTGCGTGGCACCCATCCAACGGGGTCTCACGGTCGGTTGTGAGGGCACGGACGGCGGAGAGGAGCTGAGGCGGCATCGGACTGCCCCCCCCCACGACACCTGTGCTCTGTTTTCTGGATGTAGAGGAGGGGACCAGGGAGGGGGATGACGAGGGTGTCCCACCCGTCAGCGAAACAAGGAAAGATGATGGTGGGGTGGTGTGCGGGTTGGCTGCGTGGGCCGCGCGTGGTCGGGCCAGGCCTGCTTGCCGCTGCGCGTGGGCCAGCAGAGGAGGGCGCGAGCCGGTTTGGGGTTGTTGGGCTGCTATTGCCGTTGGCGAGCTGGGCTAAGAAGATGGACAGGCCACAAGCTGGGCAGATGGCTTTTCCATTTTCCTCTTCCATTGGATTATTTAGATGTGAGGCCCACAACACTCTTATATATCTTAGGGACTTTATTTAGCTATTTTGTGTAACAAAAATAGTTGTAGTTTTGTTATACAAAAATATAAATAGTTTTCACTTTAAGCATTTATTCTTTGGTTCGATTAATATTTACTTTATGGTTTATTACTTTAAAGGAGTTATTAAGCATTACGTAAAGCAAATGAAAATCCAAATCACAATTTGAGTTAACAATGTATGAAACATTTTATTTGTTAGGATTTTTAATAAACATAATTAACAATGACATGCCATGCTCATAAGATTGTCTAGT